CTTTTCAGCGTCAGAGAGCCCCCTTCCCCTCTCCAAAGAAAGAATGCCCAACGCAGTGACCAAAGAACATGTATAGAGTCTTTCCTATTTCAGCCCACCAAGCCAAAAGATGTCTCGCCAATCCGGATAAAAACGAGTCAGGAAGCCCGAGGCTTAAGGAGATCTTTCTGTAACATGCATTATCTTGGTCAAGGTAAGCACGTGGGGGCTCTTACGCTTCGTTTCGGATTCAAATCTACCACCAGCCAAGGAAGGAATTAACGGTGAATGAGGAGCCGGAGAAGTTTAGGAATGTTTTGGGGGGCGGAGGAAAGCCGAACCGCAGCTGCGGTGCTCTACTCACCCATGGTCTCTCGCAGGCGGATAGATGGCTCGGCTCCAGAGGCCGGCGGTCTGGGGTTGCTTTGCGAGGTCGACTTCACGGCTTTGGGAAAGGAGACGGCAGGAGCCCAACGTAATCGAGAAATCAGCACTCGAAGTCCGAGCTCTCTCTGCCTGGGTCCCTCCCTCAGCGGCCACAGCCAAAGGGGCGGCGCCTGCGCTGAGAAGGCGCCCGGGGTGCAATGGCTATTAGTGTCTCTTTTCGCGCCTTTGTGAAAGGCTGAGACACGGGTGCTGCTGTTGCACTGCCGTTTGTGATAGCGCGGCCGCCTCTTTTCCTGAGTAGCCGGGTTCCGAGGAAGCGCAAAAGGATTGGAAGGGCGCCTCTTCTAGTATATCAGAAGCCAAAACTGGTTCGGGAGAAATGTGTCGAGAAGGAACCCTCAGATCTGCCCTTTCAGAACCGCCATCAGCACACCCCGAAGGGCGAACCTAAGTTTCTGTCATTTGTTCAGTCAACCAGGATCAAAGGAGCCAAATATTCATAATGAAAGCCAAATGAATGGATGAATGAACTTAAAATGTGAAGTTCAGGAGTCTGCATCCGAAATCACAAAGGCAAATGACGTTACAGCTGTCCATATCGGCGAGCAATTGTGATTTTAAAATGTGTATTGAGTGATTCTGTGGGACTAATAAACCATGGCTTTCCATAATTAAACCATGGCTTTCAGAATGTATGAACAGTCTCAAAACAGATTCAATATGCATATTGTGTGCTTAACTATGGTGAAGCCGCCATTGAATGGGATTATGCAACATGCAAAAATAGAATCAAATGCATCATTTAGGTTAGTACAATACTGTACCCTAACCCTAACCCATTCACATACAGTATTATACTAACCTAAATGATGCATTTGATTCTATTTTTGCATGTTGCATGAACCCATTCAATGGCGGCTTCTCCATAGTTAAGCACACAATATGCATATTGAATCTGCTTTGAGACTCTATTCATACATTCTGAAAGCCATGGTTTAATTATGGGAAGCCATGGTTTATTAGTCCCACAGAATCACTCAGTACACATTTTAAAGTCACAATTGGGAGTTGAAGTCCACAAGTCATAAAAGGACCAAGTTTGAAGACCCCTGCTGTAGACAGACATTTTGGAGTTTCCTTGGGAAAAGAAAACTGGGGAGAAGGCAGAAGAAGAACTGCAGTCATTGCTGTTTGCTTATTTAATGATAGGCAAAGTATAGATACAATAGATGTGCCTGGTATGCAAAAAGTAAGAGCTGGTGGCAAGAAGCTGTAGCCTTAAGACTTGATTGACATCAGAATAGATAGCAAAAACTTATTCCCTGCATATTACTTCCGGCTTGCCTGCTAGAGTGAAAAGTGTATCTAAAAAGTATAACTAGACCAGGGGTCAGCAACCTTAAACACTGAAAGAGCCACTTGGACCCGTTTCCCACCAAAAAGAAAACACTGGGAGCCGCAAAACCCTTTTGACATCTAAAATGAAGATTGTTATATCTTTAGTTCTTTAGGCATTGAGCAAGGCAGAGAGTTGAAACAGCAAACAAGTGTATTAACGCAGAACAGAAGCAGCCCTAAAGGCTGCTGCACAGCTATTTATACAGTTAGCCTCTAGGTGGCAACCAATAGGTTTAAAGTAACAGTTTCCTGCCCCAAACCTCATTATCCGCTTGGAGACAGCCAGTCTGGCTTTCAGTAATAGCAACTGTTAAACAATACAGCAATGTAGGTCAGACATTAAGCAAGTGATTTAAACAGTTGTGTCCAATACATTACACCCCTTCCACCTAGATGGCTCAAACTCTCAATTGCTGGACATAATCCTGCAGATATTTAGGTGGCCTTCTTGACCATTCTGAATGTCTAGGAGTTGCAGGGGTCTCCCGGTCTACCCACTCACCTGCCCAGCTGGGTAGACCAGGACTCTGAAGTCCAGTGAAGTCAGGTTGACTCGGGTCCCTTTGGCTGGCCAGTCCCAGTGGGCCCAAACCAAAGTCCAATCGTGCAGCAAAGTCTGCAGGGCTGTCCCTCAGTGCAGTTTGCCAGTCCTGTTCAGCGGATACGGTCTTTCTGTCCGGGGGAAGCTCTCCTATGGCCTTTTCCCTGTCTCCTCGAGTAAGAGTTCTGCTGGAGCGTGCAAGCTCCTCTGTTGGGCCGCTGTCACACGACCCTTGCGTGCGGCCCTTGGAGAGGCCTGAGCCAGTAACTGGTTCGTTAGCCTCCGACGCAGCTGGTCAATGTGCCGGCGAATGACTCGCCCATCTTCCAGGACCATCTCATAAGAGAGTGGTCCCGATACCTTAACATTCTTATGCCTATAAAATAGGAAAGCAATTGACAAATGCAGTTACAGTATGTTAAATTGACTGAGAAATGTGCCAATTTTATAGTATCCACTAGCAAATTATATTGTCTTGTTTTTTGTATCATGCTGAACTGTGGAGAAGGCTTGAGCTGAAGTTGAGTGTGAAAAAACTTACAACCATGTTTACTCACCATCTTAACTCAAACTTTGTTGATTAAATGAATAGACAGTGTTGAATATACAGTACTCTGCTCCATGCAAACAAGTAGAACTAAATAAAATATGCCAACTTACTATATCTGAAACCAAGCCCCTAATTTATATTTCCCAAATAGGTTAAAACCATAAGGTAAACAACAAATTGGTCTTAACTGGTTTTAAGTTGATTTTCAATAGACTTGTACTTCTCTCTTACCTTCTCCCCAAATATTTTTGCAATGGGTGTTAAGAATGAGTTGGAGTGCATCTATACTCACAAGCTAAATTCTTAATTATTAATTTCTGATTGAAGAGACATAGAATTGCAATTTTCTTTACCTTTCAAAATTAAAAGAATTTGATAATTAGTCTCTTCATCAGATGCATAGAAGTGAAAGATGTAATAAAGTAACTCACAAAAGATAAGTATTCTAATAACATTTTCTGAAAAGATGCTTAGTTTGGCTTTCAAACTCTGATTTTTTTCAAATAAACTGTGGATTTAAAAATAATTTTTAATACAAACATACTTTAACTGCAGCCCTTTCAAGAAAGATTATTTAACAGACTTCTGTTTAAAAAATGAGCTACAATAAATCATTCTATACTGTTAAAGAGCATACTTTCTGAAAATATTCAATAGATTTGACAGCAGTCCTCAGTGAACAAAAAAAGGAAAGTGGCTTTTATTGTTTTAAAGTAGACACCATTTTGAATTTTTTTCCAAATAACAGAACAAGACTTTCTAAGAACCTTATAATAGCAATTATTCCAATGGTACTTCCAAACATACATTTTATTGTGCAAATTGCTCTATAATAATTCATCCAAACAATTGTATAGGAAATCTTTATTGGTTTATTAAAATAATCCATTATAGCTGATTAACTCAAACATGGTGACTCCAAGTGGTATATAAACAAAATAAGTTAAACTATTTCAATTAAGAACCAAGATGTTTAAGTGTAACCAGAAGCTCACATTCCAGATGGGGATTCCAGTCATGCTGGTCCCAAGATCCAAGTAAAAAGCCAACTTTTTACTGCCTTTCGGAAGGCCCATTGAGAGCAATCACTGCAGAGAGGAGGCCTTCCTGATTACATATCTACTGTAATGGGAGTAAATGGAATGGGCAGATATCACTGAGTAGAGGTGGTCCCACAAACTGTCTTTTCTAAGCTTCAAGTCCTTATTAAAAAAACTGTTATCTTTTACCTGCAAATACCCACGAAACAACAGCATCTTTTCAAAATAGTTTAAATAGTTGAGCAATGTATCTTGTCAATTTAGTACAATCTTAAGTATAGATAGAAATACTTGGAGAGAGAGAAATACACATGAACAGCAAAGGCCATCTGTGCAACTAAACCTTGAATAAAACTGATTTTTTTTTTCATAAGCAAAACTTAAAACTTGAAAAAGAGATCATGGCACATGTTCTCAAAATGCAGTATGTACAGAACTTCTATTCTGAATGCAGAAATGGCTAAGATAAAATATAAGCTTCTTATTGACATAACTGCTAATTTTGAAAAGGCATAAATATACATTTTAAGGAAGATCTTTGAATGGAGATGTTGTACCAATTAGGAGCACTTGAATGGCAAGGATGCAAATATCTTATTTCAATTAATCAGATCTAGCACAGTATGTCTATGGAGGTACTGCTTCAGGGAAAGGAATATTCAAAGGAAATGTCTGAAAACCATAGGACTTCTAACATGTATATTCACATGAGACAGAAATATCAGTCAGTAAATTTATGTATGACTGCCTCTTTCTCAGTTAACAGGAATGTTAGCTTTGAACCACCTTTTTTAAAATGGATTTTTTAATTTCTATAGCTAAGACAAGAGAGAAAAGTCAGTAGCCATGTGGAGGGGAAATGCATGTGGCTTGATTAGAATTAAAACTTTGTTCCACTATATTCATGAAAATCACATGCACCCACATATAGCCCCTTTCCTTCCCCACCCCAACCCCAACCCCATGCCCATGTCTAGTTTATTTTTCTTCCTGATTAGTTAAATGCAACTTTGAAATAAACAAAAATGTGTATTTTAATCTGACTGGTGTTTTTTTTTTATTCTGTTAGTTCTGTGAAAGCAGACAATGCTTGCTTCTGACTTGAAACTCTACAGCCAAACTTTTCATTTTGGAAGAGAAACTCAAAAAGCCAAATTACAGTAATTTAAGATATTTTGTCTAACTAATACAGGTGCCTCCAAGAAAATAAATGGTTGCAAAAAATAGCTGCATTTAAAATCCTACAGCAAAACTAGTGTAGTACTAAAAACATTTTTTAAAAATGCTTTGAATTTTGATAGTTTTTAGTCTTTTTCCCTAGCCCAACTGAACAAAAATAAATGTTACTTCATTTCCTGCAAGGCTAACACATGCCAACATTAAATTAACTGAAATACCATTTAAAAGAGAATTTTCCGTATCCCCTGTACAAATGACCGATTCAGCTTTTCCTATTGAATTGGAATAGACTCTGGAAATTGGCAGACAAATTCAAAGTTGTACTGGAAAAGGGAAAGGAAAATTAAAAAGATCTTTTGCTGACTGTTGATCATTCCTTTAATTATACTGCTTGGTTGAACATCAGGATATACAGCTCTGAATCTCCAAAAAGGGAAAAAGGCGCATAGCTCAGAGTTTCAGAGAAATAATTGGCCAGTACTTGGGCTGTTTTGTATCACAATTCCTATCAAAGTTGAGTTGCATGATGGTCTCCATTGCTTGTATTTTGTTGGCACCTTTGCCATAGAGCTTTCTCATTTCAGCCATTCTTCTCTTGCCGGGCTTCTCAGCTGGGGGCTGCACTGACCGGCTTGTGGACAAGTGAAAGTCATGGTCAGCTTCCACATATATCTCTTGGTGTTCTGCCTCCAGCTGTTTCTGTTTCCCTATGTAAAAAAGAACACATTTTATGATTTTTTGAAAAAAAATTATGGGAATCCCAAATGATGCCAGGAATGAACAACTTAGGTATGTTGTCTAAAGATGTGTATACCTTTAAAACAAGAATTCTTGTTTGTATTTTAAACCCCTAAGCAGTCCACTATGAACTAAAGTATACTGTTACATAAAAGGGAACACTGCACCTATCTTACAAAAATGGCATTGATCATCAGCTCTTTTCTGGCCACAATTCATAGGACTTAAGTCACAAATCATTTGGATTTAAAAGACAGCCTTGTATTGTACCATCCTGCCCATTCTCCAATATCTGTGAACCCTTTTTGGCCTATGATGATCAATACATAGTGTTATATAAAACAGCGGTAATTACAGATAATCCCCGAGTTGCAAGTGTTCACTTAGCGCTCGTTCGAAGTTACATGATAAGCGACCCTAGTGTTTATGAGCAAGTCCTGAAATTACGAATGTTGCAGTACCATGGCAGTTGTTTGCCCTTACGAACAACTGCAGAGGCTCTGCAACATTCACCCTATTCCCCCCCCCACTCCTCACAATTGCTTCTCCCTCCCTTCCTGCCATGCTGGACTCACTTACCTTGCAAAGATCTATCTCCTCTCTGCCGCGGTTTCTTTGCCTTTGAGGGAGAGTTAATGGAAGCTCCTGAGTGCCGTAATATCATGTGAGTTCAGGCACCCATCATCTTTTGCAGAGAATGGATGCCTGAACTCTCACAAGATCACGGACCCCAGAAAATTTCATTCTCGGCACGAAAAGTGTTTGCGGTGCCTGTCTCCTGCTCCTCCTCCCCAACTCCTTTCTGCCACCACCGGAAAACATTTTGCCCAGATGGAGACCTGATGGAGACTGGAAGCTTCATCTGCATGCAAATGGAGCACTTGGAAATGAAGCAAATTGCTCCATTTCCAAGCACCTCATTTGCAGACGAAGCTTCCAGTCTCCATCAGTTCTCCGTCCAGGCAAAAATTGTTCTAGTGGTGGCGGAAAGGAGTTGGGGGCGAGGAGCAGGAAACAGGCACAGCAAACACTTTTTGTGCCCAGGAGCTTCCATTGACTCTCCTCTACCTCAAAGGCAAAGAAACAACGGCAGAGAAGAGGTAAGTGAGGTAAGTGAGTCCAGCACAGTAGGAAGGGAGGGGGAAGCATGAGGTATCTTAATGGGTCGGGGACGCCTTGGGGTCTGTTCCATCACTAGGCCCCCCATGGCCTTCTCCACCCTGAGATACCTCATGTGCACTTAATGAACTGTACATTTGATTAGTGAATGTGTGGGCGAAAGCAGGGAGTGATCTCATTCAAGGTACGAGATTCAGTCCTACAAATTCTTGAGTGACGAATGGAATAGGCAGGCTTCATTACATTCGTAACTTGAGTACTACTTGTATATATAAATGGGGGGGGGATGAGAGATAAAATAGTGCTTATTACAATTGTAGACCAGAATTCAAAATAATACATGTTGAACGTAGACAACAAACCAGAGTAAGAATGTTACAATTGTGGCAAATTCATTGTTCAAAAGTCAGAGTGTGTCTAATTTTACAGGAAATGTAACATATATTTAGTATACTTAGATATAGCCCCCGCTTTGCCATTGACTGACTTTGGACCAATATCAGAAGATTTTTGTGGGGATAATATTGACTGAATCTGGTGAGATACAAATAAAGGGAAGAGTGTAAAACATTCACAACCTTGAGCTAATTGATGACTGGATAAATACACATGTAATGATGCAATAATTATGTTGACTTTTATCTGTTTTTGTTCTAAATATCATCGCCTGCCCCTGAGCACTATAAATGCAATAAGTAGTTTAAGGCATAACAGTGTTAAGAAATTATAGTAGAAATAAAAAAAATATTGAGATGATGAACATAACAGAAGATTTAAAAAATACATTTTGCTGCAATGCTAAAAAAGTGGTAAACAAACCATTACAACAGCAATTCTTAAATTGAAAAAAGAATTGATATGTAGAGAGACATTAAATTTTTAATGTTCCATAAAGATGAAACCAATAGAGCTGAACCAGGGGTGTCAAACTGCTGGCCCACGGGCCAGATGTATTATAGCGAAACCGCGCCCACCCCATTGCCGGCAATGGCAAAAAAGTTGTGGTACGTTGCAACACGTCACATGATATTGCAAGTTTGACACCCCTGAGCTAAACTGTTTTCTAGCTGTGGTAGTAAAATAATACAAACAGGACAACATAAATTCAGTCAAATCACTGGTAATGAAGACAGATGACCTTAAAAAAAATTCTGCCCAAATTAAGTTAATTTTGTGATACAGCTGCTGATATGGTTTACAATCGGCTACTAAATTACACAGCTGACACCTGTATAGACATGATTGCGATTCAGACAGATGCATTGAGAAAGTTATTGCTTGAAAAACTTCACTTTATGATTAATACATTCAAATATTTAGACTTACACTCTCACAGAAATAGGTTGCATTAAATTTATTACCAGTTTTGAAAAAGCGAATAATTTGTTTACTGAATCTATGAACCCACTTTGAATGCTAATTTTAAAGGGTTGGTATTTAGATGATAATAATTATACTGAATATGCAACATCGATAATCATAATAAATGAAATACATATTTTGAAAAAAATCTTTAACATGTTTCTGGCATAACTTTAAAATATATTAAAAAATTAATGTCTTAAATCCTTATATATAAGTCCCTTACAAAACACCACTGTTTTACTGGTTTCTGGAATTTTGCCAAAAGCACATCTTTAAAAGAAATGGTCACATGTGCTGGCCTCTTTAAAAAACAGCTGTGTGAGCCTAAAGTCATACTGTACTAAAGTCATAAGTTCTTACTTATTGTTTCCAGCAGTAAAAAGAAAGATTATTATCTTCAAGGAGAACATTCTTTTAAAATTGAATTTTTATCCTTAAAATTGGAATAAAAACAACTGTTTTCCTTAAAGGAGCAGCACACTTTCAAAATATGTTATGGATAGTTAAGTGAATACACAACGCTAAAGCCTCTAAAAGTTCCAGGAACATGTAAAAGTCTTCAACTCTCCCAAAAAGAACCACACACATACAAGATCCATCGAGCCTTACTAGAAAGTTCCAAAGTTAGACGCTACCACGGGAAAAGTCCTGTGTTTTAACATGCATCTTTAACACACTTAACACACAAGCCACATGGAGTGGGAAAAGTGATTCAGGATTTCAAAATTAAGCACTTCAAACAATGAATGCTACCCCCCCAATCTCTACTTTCCATCCCATCAAGGAGACTGTTCTGGATTTAAACTGTTGCTAGAAAATGACGGTAGTTTGAATGTGAACAGCAACATAAAACTGAATCCTGACTAATTCAGTACAATTACCCAACAGCACTGACCTGGAATCAAGGTGTCACCTAGATGAGATATTATTGAAAATGAAGATGTAGAATTTGGGAGTTCTTGAATCTACTTGTTTAGAACTTAGCTATGAATATGCTCACTTTTGTGCAATGCAGCAAGGCAGGGTAAATCTGCCTACTAATATGGCAAAAGTAATGTATGCCTTCTGTAACACATGTAGCCTGCTATAATGTCCTTTATAGAGGCCTTTTGAACACCTTTAGAAAATTAAAATTTCTGGCTCAGCCTGGCTGCATACAGGAAATTCAACCTTGTTTCAACAGCTGCATGGCTTCCTAGTTGTTTCATTCCAATTTCAATTGTTGCTGATAATTAAGGCCTTGAATGATTTAGGTTCAGTCCACACCCTGTTCTCCCATTCAAATCTACTGGTTAGTAACATCTTCAAGGAAATCAGATTGTTGGAACAGCCCCAGAAAAAAAATTCATTTAGGCTGAGACTAGAACATTTTAGAGAACCAGATCTGGCTTTGGGACTGCTTTCCAAAGAACGCCATTTCATGAATGACGATTCAGAAAGCTATTTTGTATGCAGGTTCAGTTTAACATTTTAACCTGCCTGTTGCATTATTTTCACGTATATTTTTCATTCAGGTTATGACAGGATTTTTTAAAATGTTAACTCTGATTGCTTGCAAGCTATGATTATCAATATTATTAATTGATAAATTAACTCCTAGGGTGTATCTTATGTTTCCCATCTGCCTAACTACAGCATATAAAATAAAAATACCTGCAAAATGACATGTAAAGTGAATGGACCCTCCTCACATTTAAATAATGTATTGGGGTTGCATGTATTTGTTCCCCCCCCCCAATGTTTTGGAGTCCAAATCTCCCAAATCAAGTGCAATCTCAGTCTAGAAAAACTTGTGTAGTTCTGTCAATACAACCAATTCAGTACATTAGGTATTATCTAACTGTTTATTACTTGGATTGTTCAAGTCTATCTATTCCAATTCATCTGGGTTTGCTTCAGGAAATTAGTGTAATCTCCAGAGAAGATATTGCAAACATTATTCAGAACTCTGTAGGAGAAAAGAGTAGATGTATGGGCCAGAAAGTTCTCTTATGCTAGCAGACGTTCTTTTATCTACACAGATAACACTTGCATTCAGAATTAAGCATCTTGCCATATTATCCTTCAGAACAGCGATGGCGAACCTTTTAGAGACCGAGTGCCCAAACCGCAACCCAAAACCCACTTATGCATCATCGGGTGCCGGGTGGGTATGGCCCATTGGCTGGGTATGGCCAACTGAGTGGGCATGGCCCATTGGGTGGGCGTGGCTGTGGTGGTAATGGCAGACAGGGTGGGACTAAAAAGTTCAATCAATCAATTCCAACTTTGCAAGATCTTTTTTTTCCCCGCGAGAAGTTGAAATTGACTGATTGAACCTTTTTTTTTTTTTTTGCACACTGCGGCGGAGGCCTAAAGCGAACAGGTTTTATAAAACCCAGCTGAAGGCCTAGGACAGGGGCAACAGCGCGCGTGCCCACAGAGAGGGCTCTGAGTGCTGCCTCTGGCACCCGTGCCATAGGTTCGCCACCACTGCTTCAGAACA